AGCCCATGTGCTGTAATTCATGTACCCAATGTGAAAGAAGAAGGTCTTGCTGTGCTCTGCTGTGCCTCCCAACCCAGGTGTCTGTGCTGCCTGCGACAAGGCTTGAGACCAGGTGTGGCCGTGGCTTTCAGGCGAAGACGCCAGCGACCTTTGCGGCAACGCATCACGAAGCCAATCTGGACAGTCAGCTCCATCAGACTCGACGTCTGTCATGTCTAGTCTCATCACCAGCATTGCTGCCTCCACGAGAAGTCGGGGTCGCGGCTTCTGCGACTTGACCTTTGCTTTCGGCTTGGCCGCATCTCCAAGTCCACTGGGCAGAACTGTCTTGGCTTGCTTCACCACCTGCATGCAGGGCTTCATCCGCTGCACCAGACGCTTGTGAAAGAAGAAAGCTTGCAAGCCAGGCCCAGAACAAACGCACATGCCTAGCTTCCGGCACAGGGATGGAGCGGTGTGGGAATCCTGGGGGATCTCTGCGATCGTCTGTTGCTGGATCATCTCATGTCTGGCAGACCAGGTCTGGTCCAATTCTTGCCAAAGACCTTGTCCATACTGTTTGTAGCATGTAGGCGTGGGCTTGAAGACCTCCTACAGGGGTTTCATCGGCTACAAACAGGGAACTCGGACACGAGGCTCATGGGCAAGCACCTATAACCAGCAGTAAGTGCCAGCAACAGCAAGTAGCAATAAGTAGCCAATAAGTAAGTAACTCGGAAATAAGCAAATCTTCGGCTGAGAGCTGAACAGGGAAACATTGGACCAACTCACGTGGGCGAAACATGCACGGAAACATAATATGTTCATGCCGAATCCACGCAAGGAGGCACCTCCCCGGGAAAACTGTCTAGTTAGAGTCTAGTTTCAAGCACCAATCTGTTGCCCTAGTTCCAAACTCCGCGAACTCGAGCCGTCTAATCTACTCAATCTAGTGACAGAATCTAGTGATCTACTCCAGTCTAGTCTAGTCTAGTGACCGCAACGTATCGCTCCAAAACCAGCCCACAACAGAAGGACACAAGTAAATTCTGGAGTATCCCAACTAGAGACTCCAAACATCCGTGGAAAGCTAAACTGCTGGCGGCAAGGAGCACTAGCATCACTAGCAGCTAGCAGCCAGCTAGCAGACTGAGCCTGACTGAACCGCGGTCCTGCACCGCCTCTTCCACAGGCACGTGCAACTGCACACAAGCTCCTGCACTGCCAACCGCCTCAGCACCCAGCGCCTGCATGTCCTCATCCGCACGAACTAGCTCGCCCAGCAGTTTTTCACCAGCCTCTTTCATCTTCCGGCCAGTCTGCTCTGCCTCCTTGACAAGGACAAGCCGATGTTCCTGCATCTGCTTCATCCACTCGGATTGCGCAGCTCGCACATCCTGAGACAGTTGGCTTTCATTCTCAGCTGCTCGGCGCAGTCGGAGCATGACTGAGGCTGCACCGAAGGCGGAGATGCCGCGTCTGCCAGCATGCTTCGCCACATGCCCCGTCTGCTGCAGCTGTCGCCACTCATCACCACCCTCCGCTTTGATGCGCCGGTACTCCCTGCTCGCAAGTCTGAAAGCCGCTTTTCCGGGAAGCCCCCTATTCTTCCCGGAAAAAAAAGAATGCATGAATGCACGCCATGGGCCACCATAACCTCCACGTCCCTTGTTCAGGACACGGCCTTTGCGGCGACGCCTGCGCCGAGACAGCCCGTTCGCAGCAGCACGCCCCGAAGCATCGTCCACGGGTCCCGTGGGCGCGTAGAAACGGGATCGAGCCAAGCACTGCTGTCGATTGACCCATTCCGCCGAGAGGCGCTGAACATGCAGAGGCCAGGTTTGCGTGGAATGTCGCGTCACCTGCCGCCGGTTCACAGCATGTTTTACTTCAATCGGCACGATGTCCACTTCCATGTGCCGCGCCAGTGTGTGCAACACCGCACGACATTCCTTGCTCGTCAAAAGATCTGGGTCCGGGTATCGCTCAACCATGAGAGCTGTCAGCTCGTCTCTCATGCAAGGCTGCAAGTCAAGTAGGTCTTGCGCTGCCTGCGTGCAGTCGCCCTGCGCTAGAAGACCAAACAAACTGTAGGGGCATGCAAGATGCGCTTTGGCCAGCAACTGACTCAAAGTCGATCCGGCTCGACTGAGCAGCCGGAAAGCCAAGCAACGAACACTGCTCTTGCAAGCCTTGACGGGAAGCTCGCTCTGGCAAGTCTGAAACAGCGTCGCAAGGCTGTCGAAACACTTCCGAACCTGTTTGCCCTGGAACAATTCGAGCACACGATAGCTCCGAGGCTTTCCGAGAGCAGAGGCCTCATCCTGACGCAATGCCCACCCCTCCGAGGACAGGTAAATCAAGTCCGTAAGCAGAATCTGTAAAGGCTTCTCGTACATCTGCATCACCAGCAACACAGGCCCTGGATCAGTTGCGGCGTAGGCAGCTGCCTTAAACCTGGTGGCTCTGTTCAAGTCCGCCCAGGAAATATTGGGGTCTGCTGTTGATGCCTGAGGGACCTCGGCCAGTTCCGTGCCCGCAGAAGGGTCTTCTACAAGCACCAGTTCCGCTCTCACCTGCCCCGCATCCTCCGAAATCTCATTGACAATCATCTTGGCGTGCGCATGTAGTTGTTCCCTCCATGAAGAGGCTGCTGCCGATGCAACCTGCCTTGGTCTCTCCAATGTCACATTGCAAAACCTGGCACAAAGTTCCTGTAGAAGCCCGTGATGGCAGGCTAGAAGCCCGCACCATGACAGTCCCGCCTCATGTCCAAGCCAATTGCCGCGGTTGATGTGCGGACAAGTGCCAGGTATGAGCACTTGCAACAAGTGCAGCCGCATGTCCTCCAACACGTCCGCTTTGCTTCGGAGAGGACGGCAGAAGTGGCTGACTTCAGTCGTGTCCTGAATGTTTCCATTCAGGAGACGACTCAACACTAGGCGTTGCTTCCGCTTGAAACCAACGTTGTCTCGCTTCGCTTTGCCGGTGTGCACTTCTGTGTCCAAGAAACAATCGTAGACCAAGGTCCTGTGGGCTTCGCAGCACCCATCTCCCAGCTGGATGTGTAGGCGCTCAGCCAGAATGTCCATCAAGAGTGACCGTAGTCGCGCGGCGGCACCAGCAAAGTTGCATGCCAGGCTGATTGACAAGGCACCTGAAACATGCCCGTCCACCAAGTCCAGGGTGTACTTGGTGCATGACGAGGCTCGATGGACGTTGCAAAAAGTATGGCTCTTCGTCCAGCCTGGAACTTGCTGCTGCAGCAGTGCCTCAGCAGCCGTGTTGCTCGGATGCGAGTCCGAACACGGGAGGGTCGCCCTAAGGTCAAAGGCTCGGCTAGCCTGCTGCAGCGCCGAAACCACACTTTCTGTTGCAACTTGAGTAGCGCACACATTCTCCTTGGTGTTTGCATCGACCAGTTGCAAACACGTGGGCACTCGGCCAGTGACTTCGAGGTAACTGTCGTCGGACGCGCGATGGAGCAGGAGGAAAATCCTGAATTCTGTCTGATAGATCTTCGTAGCCAGCCCGGGCTCTGCCTTTTGCAACGGTCCACTAGGTTCTTTCGGTCCTTTGGCCCTAACCTTCAACGGAGTTTCGTCGTACCTCCGAAGCTTGCCTATCAACAAGCCTTTGAGATCTTGTTGGTGGCCAAGCTTGCTACTGAGCTTCACGAGAAACCTGGACCACAATGCTCCGGACAACTCGAGGACACTGCACGCGACCCTGGAAGTGTCTGTGCTAATTTGACGGTAATCAACATCCTGTGCTTTCGCTGCAGCAGCCAAGCTGGACAAGGGCTGCTTTTCCAACAGAATGCTCGCTGGGTTTGCACCTGCTGACGAGTCCCGGGCTGCACTGTGTTTCTGCTGCTCAGCAAAGAGAATGAGCCGCTTCCTCAGCTGGGGACGGAACACGAGCTCGCGAGAGAGAGAGAGAGAAACTTAGAAAGAGAGAATGAACATCGAGAGCGAGTAAGAGAGATAGATAGAGACCCACCCCGAGAGAGCGGGAGTGAGACAGGGGAGGAGCAACACATGAAACAACTATCCTGCGCCTAATTCATAGGGTCATAAGGCTATATCAGACTATATCACATAGAAACACATATCGTGGTCGCTGAGAGGAGAATAAACAAGAAAAATCCCTAAGCTACCGATCCTCCGCCTAGGAGCTGCAAAGGTCCCAAAAATGACACCTCGTTGTTGCGCTCTGAAATGGCCGCAGTGTGCAGCTGCTTTGAAACAACAGACCTTTCTGACCTTTCTGGCTCCGGACTGTCGTCAATCACAATCACTTGCTTCGCAGCCTCACTTGCTGCTCTAGCGGCCTCCATGGCAGCTATTCTTGCCGAAAGCTGATTGCGGTGACTGGCATCTCCATATCGGGCAGGCGGGCGCCCTCGGCCCCTCGATCTGCCCTCAAGAGCTACGGAATCGGGCTCGGCATCCTCGAAACTCTCGCTCATACTCTACGATTCTACGCCGTGCTACATCTGCATATGTTTCCATTGGAAACACACTCGTTGGAGCCTCTTCCCAACACGCTTGACCCGAAAGCCAAGATGCAGCAGATCTGTGCCCGATGCCCTACGCACCAAGCATGCCATGACAGCCAGTGGACTTGTGAATATCTGAAACTACAAGCAGACTATCAAGGCACTTGTGCAACCAAAATGTTCACATCACCGACACCGCCGAAAACTGCTGACTTCTCCGTACGAAACACCACATGCAAAGCAGAGCCGAAGCAGTCCTGGGACGTAGCATGCGTAGCCACAGCTTGAGGTCCAGATTCAGCCGGATGATGTGGTAGCCAGGGCGGAACTGCTCTGCCTCGAAGGCTTCCAAGAACCTGAAACACATGTTGTCTGTCGGCACTGAAACCCAAGCCCTCAACCAGATATTCTCGACTTTGAACCTTGAATTCCGAGAATCGCCCCAAACCGGAGAAGTGCAACGTCAAGCCTGTGACACGAATTCACATCACCCGTCACACTCATCGCAATCGGCTATCGGCTATCGGACAAGGAACTGATCCAGTGGGGACTCTGCTTCTCCGCTGGCTACTGGTTTCCCAAACCCCTCGCTCTGCTCCATGATGATGTTGGTGGGTTGCGTCTTGCGCACAAGTGCCAACAGCTCTTTGTACGTGTGCGATGTCAAAGCGTGATTCGCCACTGACCCTGGCTTAAACCGTTTGTGACGCTGGCCACTGAACGGGTTGCAGGGCGTTCCTGCAACTAGTAAGTCAACCTGGGTCTGGAGATCGCACCTGCGCTTCTGAGGATGGTTCAAGCATGGGGCACCCTCCACTTGCTCTCGAAGGGTTTCGTGCAAGTGGACTACAGCATCTGGCATGTTCGCCCTCGCAAATGTCCTGAAGGCTTCCACGGGCTCCGACATGGAGAGGCACTGAAAGGGAATTCCCAGTTCCTCGCCATGTGTGGGCTCCAGACTTGACTAGACATCCCGACATCCCTTGCCCCACATCCGACAAGTGACAAATGCCAAAGTCGCTACAGCTGCTTCCCGTGCCCGCAAAACTACTGACCCATAGAAGTCTTAGAATCGTCCAGCGGACGCAGACACTGTTGGCTCCAGACTCTATCTAGACGCTATACTGTATATACTATATACTGTCTGCTTGAAGACAAACCAATGCCAAGTCTCTTTCATTGCCGCTGCTTCCGCACAACAGCCGGCGCAGGCACTCACCAACTTCACAGGTGTGCTCCGTTCCGGAACGGCATACCCGTTCGCGAGACTGTCTCGCTTCAACAGCGGTGCCCAGAAAGCCGAGTGCGCTACCTGGTCCTCCGAGTCCGACAAGCTCTGGTGTTCTGCTTGCGACTTGTCGTCGCTGGATTGTGAACTGGCGATTAGCTCTATCTCGCGCACCCACGTATCCATTCTACACGGACCCGCAGTCATAACATCTACGCATTTGAGCAAAAGAGTGCTGACAAGGCCATGCTGTTGTCCTGTCGGCACGTGCCTACCAAGGATGCGCCACAACTTCGCCTCAAGAATGACTGTATCAGGAACCGTACCGACTCTTTCGGTGTGCTTCGAAAGTGTATCGGTAAATCCTATCCAAACCCATAACAAGAAAATAAATTTAATGTCTCTGAACCTAGTACCTTAAGATGTTATAATTTTAGGCCCAGAATGGGGGGGAGCTCGAGATCGGCCCTCCGGCCTAATAAAAACGCTATTCTATGAACAGAATTTGTCACCCAAAACGCCCACCCCAAAATCCAGGAAATTTGGCTTTAAGTTTAGCAAACCCCCATTCAAGGTAAGCAGCCCCCTACTAGGGCACGCTCCTACCCCAACGTTGGAGTAAGCAGCCCCCTACTAGGGCACGCTCCTACTCCAACGTTGGAGTAAGCAGCCCCCCACTAGGGCACGCTTCTACTCCAACGTTGGAGTAAGCGGCCCCCTACTAGGGCACGCTCCTACTCCAACGTTGGAGTAAGCAGCCCCCTACTAGGGCACGCTCCTACTCCAACGTTGGAGTAAGCAGCCCCCTACTAGGGCACGCTTCTACTCCAACGTTGGAGTAAGCAGCCCCCTACTAGGGCACGCTTTTACTCCACCGTTCAAGTAAGCAGCCCCCTACTAGGGCACGCTTTCACTCCACCGTTCAAGTAAGCAGCCCCCTACTAGGGCACGCTCCTACTCCAACGTTGTAGTAAGCAGCCCCCTACTAGGGCACGCTCCTACTCCAACGTTGGAGTAAGCAGCCCCCTACTAGGGCACGCTTCTACTCCAACGTTGGAGTAAGCAGCCCCCTACTAGGGCACGCTCCTACTCCAACGTTGGAGTAAGCAGCCCCCTACTAGGGCACACTCCTACTCCAACGATGGAGTAAGCAGCCCCCTACTAGGGCACGCTTCTACTCCAACGTTGGAGTAATCAGCCCCCTACTAGGGCACGCTCCTACTCCAACGTTGGAGTAAGCAGCCCCCTACTAGGGCACGCTCCTACTCCAACGTAGGAGTACGCAGCCCCCCACTAGGGCACGCTTCTACTCCAACGTTGGAGTAAGCAGCCCCCTACTAGGGCACGCTTCTACTCCAACGTTGGAGTAAGAAGCCCCCTACTAGGGCACGCTCCTACTCCAACGTTGGAGTAAGCAGCCCCCTACTAGGGCACGCTCCTACTCCAACGTTGGAGTAAGCAGCCCCCTACTAGGGCACGCTCCTACTCCAACGTTGGAGTAAGCAGCCCCCTACTAGGGCACGCTCCTACTCCACCGTAGTAAGCAGCCCCCTACTAGGGCACGCTTCTACTCCAACGTTGGAGTAAGCAGCCCCTTACTAGGGCACGCTCCTACTCCAACGTTGGAGTAAGCAGCCCCCTGCTAGGGCACGCTTCTACTCCAACGTTGGAGTAAGCAGCCCCTTACTAGGGAACGCTCCTACTCCAACGTTGGAGTAAGCAGCTCCCTACTAGGGCACGCTCCTACTCCAACGTTGGAGTAGGCAGCCCCCTGCTAGGGCACGCTTCTACTCCAACGTTGGAGTAAGCAGCCCCCTACTAGGGCACGCTCCTACTCCAACGTTGGAGTAAGCAGCTCCTGGTAGGGCACGCTCCCTCCAACGTTTGAGGTCAGCAGCCCCCTACGTGGCAACGCTTCTACATCCCAACGTTGGAAGTAAGCATCCCCTACTAGGGGCACGCTTTCCCACTCGACCGTTCAGTCCAAGCAGCCCCCACTACTAGGGCACGCTCCTACTCCCAACGTTTGGAGTAAGAGCAGCCCCCCTACTAGGGCACGCCAACGTTGGAGTAAGCACCCCCTACTAGGGCACCTCCTACTCCAACGTTGGAGTAAGCAGCCCCCTCTAGGGCACGCTCCTCCTCCAACGTTTGGAGTAAAGCAGCCCCCTACTAAGGGGCACGCTCCTACAATCCACGTTGGAGTAAGCAAAGCCCCCTACTAGGGCACGCTTCTACTCCCACGTTGGAGTAAGGGACAAGCAGCCCCCCCCCCTACTAGGCAACGCTTTCTACTCCAACGTTTGGAGTAAACAGCCCCCTACTAGGGCACGCTCCTACTCCAACGTTGGAGTAAGCAGCCCCCTACTAGGGCACGCTTCTACTCCAACGTTGGAGTAAGCAGCCCCCTACTAGGGCACCCTTCTACTCCAACGTTGGAGTAAGCAGCCCCCTACTAGGGCACGCTCCTACTCCAACGTAGGAGTAAGCAGCCCCCTACTAGGGCACGCTTCTACTCCAACGTTGGAGTAAGCAGCCCCCTACTAGGGCACGCTCCTACTCCAACGTTGGAGTAAAGCAGCCCCCTACTAGGGCACGCTCCTACTCCAACGTTGGAGCAAGCAGCCCCCTACTAGGGCACGCTCCTACTCCAACGTTGGAGTAAGCAGCCCCCTACTAGGCACGCTTCTACTCCAACGTTGGAGTAAGCAGCCCCCTACTAGGCCACGCTCCTACTCCAACGTTGGAGTAAGCAGCCCCCTACTAGGGCACGCTTCTACTCCAACGTTGGAGTAAGCAGCCCCCCTACTAGGGCACGCTCCTACTCCAACGTTGGAGTAAGCAGCCCCCTACTAGGGCACGCTTCTACTCCAATGTTGGAGTAAGCAGCCCCCTACTAGGGCACGCTCCTACTCCAACGTTGGAGTAAGCAGCCCCCTACTAGGGCACGCTCCTACTCCAACGTTGGAGTAAGCAGCCCCCTACTAGGGCACTCTCCTACTCCAACGTTGGAGTAAGCAGCCCCCTACTAGGGCACGCTCCTACTCCAACGTTGGAGTAAGCAGCCCCCTACTAGGGCACGCTTCTACTCCAACGATGGAGTAAGCAGCCCCCTACTAGGGCACGCTTCTACTCCAACGTTGGAGTAATCAGCCCCCTACTAGGGCACGCTCCTACTCCAACGTTGGAGTAAGCAGCCCCTACTAGGGCACGCTCCTACTCCAACGTTGGAGTAAGCAGCCCCCTACTAGGGCACGCTTCTACTCCACCGTTGGAGTAAGCAGCCCCCCACTAGGGCACGCTCCTACTCCACCGTTGGAGTAAGCAGCCCTCTACTAGGGCACGCTCCTACTCCAACGTTGGAGTAAGCAGCCCCCTACTAGGGCACGCTCTTTTTTCTAGAACGCTCCTACTCCAACGTTGGAGTAAGCAGCCCCCTACTAGGGCACGCTTCTACTCCAACGTTGGAGTAAGCAGCCGCCTACTAGGGCACGCTTTCACTCCACCGTTCAAGTAAGCAGCCCCCTACTAAGGCACGCTCCTACTCCAACGTTGGAGTAAGCAGCCCCCTACTAGGCACGCTCCTACTCCAACGTTGGAGTAAGCAGCCCCCTACTAGGGCACGCTCCTACTCCAACGTTGGAGTAAGCAGCCCCCTACTAGGGCACGCTCCTACTCCAACGTTGGAGTAAGCAGCCCCCTACTAGGGCACGCTTCTACTCCAACGTTGGAGTAAGCAGCCCCCTACTAGGGCACGCTTCTACTCCAACGTTGGAGTAAGCCGCCCCCTACTAGGGCACGCTCCTACTCCAACGTTGGAGTAAGCAGCCCCCTACTAGGGCACGCTCCTACTCCAACGTTGGAGTAAGCAGCCCCCTACTAGGGCACGCTTCTACTCCAACGTTGGAGTAAGCAGCCCCCTACTAGGGCACGCTTCTACTCCAACGTTGGAGTAAGCAGCCCCCTACTAGGGGAC